GTTTTGCTTTGTTTCACAGAACTAATCGTTGCCTGGGTTGCACGTATGTGTGGGGCGGAACTATCAAAATAGGGGCGAGACCCTTTTGGGGAAGGGGCGTGTTTGTTTTGGTGATTTCAAATGTCAACATTGGCTACCAGAAATCGCTTTCCCCACCTTTAAATATTCAATTTATACTTTAAAAATTAAACTGAAACCGCCAGTAGGTGGCAGCAAGTCACTGTCTTTGTAACTGAATCATTCATTGAATCGATTTGTTCAAACGGCTGATTCATTTAGGAGCAAGTGACTCTCTTTATGAATGGGTCATTGAATGATTGACTCACTAGATATGTTCAAAAACGCAGATTCATTAATAAACGAAAAAGCGCTGTGTTTGCTTGAAGATGCCTGGCTCAGCTGTGACTTTGTTTGGAACTATTTTCTTGAAGAAACACAATCAGACAACAGTGTTCTTAAAATGTAGGCTAAGTCACTTAATATTAACTTTTGTATAAAAAAAAAAATGTAGGCTATAAAACTGTTGTAGTATAAATTAAATTTACTTTTGCAAACTCTCTTTATAGCCAATAATTGAAATGCTGTCACTCGTCTATAGTTCATTGCGATCTCACAAATTTCCATTTTAATTAATGAAGCTCTCTACACTGCACACTGAATCTAGCCTATTATTTGCATCGTTCTACACTTTCTTTGTTATAATGAATGGCAAAAACTGCAGTCTGCTTTCAACAATCTGTTCTGTGAGGACTGAGGAGCAGGACGCGAACCGATAGAGAGGCATTATTGGCTGCGTCTGCAGGTATTATGGCCAGTCACAAAAGACGGCATTGCGCAGCTAACCATAGACACAATTATCCCGCTACGTTTTTAGTCTATTTTGCGCTATGTTTATATGCAGAACTGGGATCGCTTTCGTAGTCTTTTGAATTGATAAAATATAGAAATCACTTTAATTTCCAAATAAATCTAACCAGTTGGAAGTAAAACGCCGCCCCCTCTCAAAATTCACTCCCCGGACTCCTTCCCCCCGCGTCCCCCACCCACCATTTCCAGCCCTGGTTGTAATGTAGCCTACTATTGCTGTTACTATTATTTCTTTTCAACTGCTTACACACAAAATCTTTACTTGTCATACAATTTCTGAAACCTGACACTCAAACACCAGAACCACACACCAAATCAGCAGCACCATACACTAATTGTCGGCCTTTGACTCAGTTTTCAATTTCATAAAACACTTTTTGCAAAGCACAACACACAATTCTCTATGTAACACACAAAAATCTAACAGGAATTAATATAATGGCAAAGGTGTTTGCAAATGTTTGCTTTTGAGATGTGTTTGTGACATTGAATGCAGTGCTTCATTTTGCAAGAGATGTGAGGCATTTTGTGTGTGCAATTCTTGGATTTGTGTGTAAAATTTGAAAAAAAAAAGAGGCAAAGTTTTGAAAATGTGTG